GTATAGTTATACTTTTTTTTAAAAATTTAGCTTTTATAGACCTTATTTAAGGTCCCTCTATGTAAAATTTAGGTTAAAAAACTGCTCTGTTTTTTAATACTATTGCTCTTGTACAGTCCTTATATAAAGAACTCCATGATAGTATTAGTGAAAATACAAAAAATTCTCTCTCTAACCTCTTATATATAGGAATGATAAGATGTTATTTAAAAGAAAACAAATAAAACTGACCATAGCAAATTGTGCCATCTAGATCAGAAATTAAGCATTCAGTTAGGTAGGAAATCAACAAGAAACAACTGGGTGGGAGAAACATAAATTCCCCCAAATTCTCAAGGATATCAGAGGATTATCAAGTTTCCAATGGACATGAGACTGAGCCTCCTGTTGACTTCTGTTTAGTTGGTAATTTTCAGCCATTATTGAAATAAAGTGTGAACCTCAACAAGCAGGAGGACTTTGTGTGTGTGTGTGTGTCCACAAAGATTGATCTATTTTATTGTTTTTAATATTTTTAATTGTAGCTTTTAATTACAAAAAAGTCCCCTTTATAACCTTTATTCATAATTGTCAGACACAATAATCTTAATCCCTCTTTAATTTGACAGCTTTTCAAGTTTGTGAATCAGCTGTATCTCCAAATATCTTTTTTTCCAACTAAAAATTGATTGTTTTATGACAGGACCGTTTCTTTGATGCTTTTAAGTGATTGAGAAGTAAAAAAAAATTTTTAATTCGCATCTCTGATGTTTACTTTCATTTTTAGAGACCTTCATGGGCCTACTGGTAACCATAAATGAAGTCTTGCAATGAGAATTACTCCTGGGTTTTTTTGTTTGCCTGTTTTTCTTTTCTATTTGACTATAAAAGAACAGGAAGTTTTCTTAACAGAATTTCTAATACCTGGGTAGTCAGATAATTCTTCAAATTAAACAGTTTATGTATTTTAAATTAATGTGAATAAATAAATAACAGAGAGACTATCCCATTCTTTTGTCAAGCTATACTCAACAATTTAGAATTATAGATTAACGGAAGAAATAATACAGAATTTATTATTTCAGGTATGGCCTAGTGTATGTTATCTTGTTTTAAAGAAAGAAGAAACCAATTGATGGCAATAACTGAAGAGATAAATTGACAGTTTAAATCATCTATGTAAAGGAAACAATCTTTAAGAAGGCATTAATTTCTGAATCATTAAGTTATGGTTCATAAAACTTAGTGTCTGCAGTGACTATTTTAATTATGGTATTTTTCAATTGTAAAATCAGATCATTAAGATTCAGTTATAATCTTGCCCCCAAGAGTATTTATGATATATTTTCAATTATGCAATGTATGCGTTAATAACTTGTCACCAATATTGTAGGTTTATCTTTCTACATAAGATTTTGCATTATATCCCTGATTCAGTAATAGCCTAGATTATATCTTCTTGAAAAGATGCAGCCAAATACTCTATTTCTCTTTTATTGACTAGTTATATTAAATTTTTAATATATTGCCTAAAGTCATCATGTGGACCTTTCTAAGCATAATATTTGACTCCATTTTAAATTAGAAAATTGTGTACTTTTTCTCATTAATTTATTTTGAGTGTCTGTAGTTATTGTATTTAAATTTAGTGTTTGTGTGTGTGTGTGTTTGTGTGTGGTGTGTGTTAACAGCATGATTTCTTCATCCCTCAGCAGTTTCAGTATTTCAGTTTCTTTTTTTTTTTTTATTATTAGCTATGTACTCTTGAGGAAATTAAGTTTAATATTGTTTCTTATATTCCACTATTGTATTATCCCCTTTCTTGTACTTGACTGCTCTGATTTCCTCTTGTTTTATTGGCAAACATCCTACCCTAGCTTAATGGCTGTGTTTAAGTGTTCTGTAATATAAGTTGATTATATTTCTTCAGTGAAATTATCATCGGAAGCAGACCAACTGTTCCTCTAGTCCCTGCCAGAAGAACAGTGTCAATTCCCATGTATACTTGCACCACCTCTTGGAGAAAAGAATTGTGAGTGGAGTAAGCCTGGAAGACTACATATTTTTACTCAAGAGTCTTTAAGTCCTTGAAGAAAAACCATATAAATCAGCCAGCACAGGAAACTAACCTTTGTGTATACTCAACATTTAAGTTAAATGTAGCTTGCATCAGAAGAGATGCAATATTGTTATGAGGAAAATGCCAGGGTTTTGTTTTGTTTTGTTTTGCTTTGTTTAACTCTTGAATCTAGTAGTTGGGGACTGTTAGATTACATCTGTTTTAGCAAAATGCAATAGCTCCATTTCATTTACACATCTGAGTAAATGTGAATGAACTAGGAGAGGCTTTAAGACAGTCCTAATCAGGATCTCATTACCTCAGAAGTACTCACTAAAGTGATTAAACTCTCTTCATACCACAAGAAATAGGGGGAAGAATTAGCTGAGAGTGAAAAAGTCAATAGGTTTAAAAGAGTTTAACAAAAATCTAGATCATGTGTACCTACAATTGGAAACATTTAGGAATTCAGAGGATGCCAGCATGGATACCAGTGACTATACATGATAGCTTCAATTTATCAGATGCCAGTGCATATAGGTACCCATCATCAGAAGCCAGCTATGCAACTTGTCATGACTCTATAAGCTTCTAGGTTTGATATAATCACCTGGAGAAAAAGGATTAAGAGGAAAATCCTGCAATTATTTTGTTTCCAACTGATATATTTACAAATACTTGGAATATACTAACATTTTGCTTTTAGTGATCAGCTGGATTTAGGGCCAAGAAGAGACATAGAGGTGACTTAATGAAAATTCAAGGGAATAACATTTCCTTTCACACCGTTGTATGTGATCAGATCACTCATAATGATCATAATGATAATAATGACAAAGTTAATTTAAAAAAAAAACCCACCAACTCCTTACTACTAATAACAGTTTGGGCATTATAGTTTTCCAAACATCTTTCAATGTGTGAATTTTTCTTTCTTGTTAATCCAATTTCTTTACCACCAGTTTTTGTACATTAAGAGTAGACCAGAAAGTGTGATAAGCAAGGAATGGGTATACTATATGTAAAAAAGTTCCCAACAAATAGTAAAGGTAGGAATTGAGAAATTGAGAGGCCCACTTTTCAGACCTGAATGTCTTGATTTATCATCCTGAGGATGGTAAACACATGCATGTATGTTAGAATCAGTTGAAAAGTTTCAAGGGGATTTCAGAACGGTGGGCGATGGTACTAATCATTTGTCAGGGTTTCTGGTCTCCAGTATCCTTTACATACCATAACCAAATCCAAGTTTTTGTTCTAGACATTGTTTTCAAGTTCTTGCTTATTTCTCCTCCCTGTGCCTGCCTTTCTCTTAATGTAGGCTATCTTAAGTTTTTCTGAGGGAATAGGCTTGGTTGAGAAGGCAAAACTTCTTCCTCTTCTTCTTCTTCTTCTTCTTCTTCTTCTTCTTCTTCTTCTTTTTTTTAATTTAGAATGAGAAAGAGAGAGTCAGAGTGTGGGCAGAGAGAGATGGAGACACAGAATTGGAATCCGACTCCAGGCTCTGAGCTGTCAGCACAGAGCCGGACAGGAGCTCAAACGCAGGAACCCTTCGATCATGACCTGGGCTGAAGTCATGTGCGTAACTGACTGAGCCCCTAGGCGCCCCTTAATTTTTGTTGTTGCTCTTGCATGAGAGCAACAAACGCTTGACTTTTATAATCATTTCCTGTATTTCTGGATCTTCTTTATTGCTTTTCATTTATGCTAGAAAACTGTCCAATTTTAGCTACCTAATAATACATTGCAACAAAGAAGTAACATTGAGCAAACAAAACACAGTTAACTTCCTGGCTCTTTCCAACTACTTTCTGTGAAACAGCTAGTTTCTGAGGACTTGGTATGTCAGTTTTCTCAAGACTATGTTTTAAGACTATCTACTACACTATTATTTTTCCAACTTTTTTTTGCTACAACCTACAACAAAAAACACAATATATATTATCATCCTGTAAAATGCATGCACAAACACATGCATACCAGGTGGCTTAACTGGACATCACGTCTAAATTGGGACTGTTTCTGGCAAACTTGAGTTCATCCCAAATTCCCTTTCTGCTAATAAACTGATTTTTCACGATGGAGTTTTTTAAATTGCTTGAAAAATACTGAGCACTTAGCAGTAGTATGATAGGTTAGTCTCTTGAGAACTTACGATAACCTGAATTTTGTATCTTTATTATGGTATTATATTTAATAACTAGTGAGTTTAATGATTGAAGCAAATAAATATCATTCATCATATGATGACTGTGTTTTATTTAAAATTACATATGCATTTTTTTCTGTTAAAGTGTTTGTCAAATGTTAAATTGCAGTTTCACTAGATCTAACTTTAATAGTACTTGTAAAGGATCAAAAGTATACAGTGGATTAAAAAAAATCAATCTTTTTACTATATGAAAGTGGTCTTTATTATTATAATGATTAGTAAGAAAAGATACAGCCTTACTATTGAGGCACTGAGGTTTTTATAAAAAGAAGGTAAAGGCATTATGTAATTTCCTGAAGTTTAAACTTTGATGGTTGTGTATCTTAGTGTTGGAAGGAGAATAAATCTAAAGTTGATTACCTAGGGGTGCCTGGGTGGCTTAGTCGGTTGAGCGTCCGACTTTCGCATAGGTCATGATCTCACAGTTCGTGGGTTCAAGCCCTGCATCGGGCTCTGTGCTGACTGCCAGCTCAGAGACTGGAGCCTGTTTTAGTCTGTGACTCCCTCTCTCTCTGACCCTCCCCTGCTCACGCTGTCTCTCTCTCTCTCCTAGAAATAAATAAAAACATTAAAAAAAAAGTTGATTACCTAGACAAAATAGAGTATCTTCATAGGTATCCTTAAGCGAACCTTACATAAAAAAAAAAAATAAATTTGAAAGCTCAAAAATCAAGAATTGTTTTGCTTTGTTTCTTTGTGTTTCAGTTGTATTCTCTCAATTTGCAATATTTTTGTTGTTTTTACTTTCAGGCCCACTTATAGAACATTGCGTGAGCACAGAACTGTGTGGAAAATGCTGAAAACAATTCCAGATCTGACCTCTCAGCTAACTGATGAGCATCTGAAAACACTTAGTAAGAGTGTCATTTCTGAAACCTGGGTTAAAGACAGTACAGGTAACAGACTAATATAGAGGGAAATTTGGCAATATAAAATGTATGTGATTATTTTGAATTCTCTGTACTATTCATATTTTCACTTGCTATGTTAAAAGTGCACCATTTTGGAGTATTTTGTGTATAGTTGTAAGTAGTGAAATGAATAACATTCCAGATTTTAGTACATGTTTTAAAGATATACACTAGTATTTTCTCCACCTTGAGAATCACCCTGAGGATTCGTATTGCTGTGTTCAGTTCTGAACTTTCTGTTTTGGTAGGCTTGGGATGGGGCTTTCAATAACGTTCCAGGTGACAATGCTAGTATGGAGACCATACTTTGAAAACCACTCATTGATATACACATTTAATTACAATCCAGCATTTTTTCATAGTTATGACAGTAAATGACCATGGCAATTATTTGACTTATTCAGATACTAACCCAGATATTGGGCAAAAAGAAGTCTTAGACAGATTTTAGTTTCCCAATTTTAAATTTCTAGTCCCCTCATCAAAGATATTGGTTACATTAATAAAAGTATTTTATATTTTGCTTTTTTGAGAGGTATACAAATACACACATACACAACACATCTAACCCAACAGAGTCAACCCCATTTTCTGCATTTGTCAAATACCTATTAAAAAAGAAGAATTAAGTTTATTTTATACATTCTTTGTGTCAAGGGATGTCCCTTATTTATTCCTCATAGTAATAAATAATAGTAGAAATTATTATTATTCTCTATAGTTGAGGACCATAAGACACAAAATATCATGCAGAATATTACTGATTAAAATTAAATTTCAAACATATTTTAGCCCTAATGCTAAACTCATTCTCATTCTGTCCATTATGCCACTGTTTTTATAAAGTATCTCCTCAGGATCATGACATTTAAAATCTAACTGTATGTAATTTTGGAGAACATGTGTCTATTGAAATATGTCATATGTCTATTGACATGTTTCAGGAGTTTTCCCCCAATGGTCATCTCTCATAATTAGTTTCATTTAATCTGACATAAAGCAGTGAAAATTAAATCTTAGGAGTTTTGCAAAGGATAAAATGATTTTGAAAAGCAAGGAAGAACATTCAAAATTGCTTTGCATTAGCTTGAGGACAGTAATTTAAATATTAATTTGTTTTACCATACATCCCTGAAATTATTTAATTAGGTAAAAAATGTGGAAACAACCTAGATGTTCTTCAATAGAAGACAGATTACTTTGTGATACATCTATTCTGTGGAATAGAAGACTACATTATGACACTTGTATTCAATGAAATCTTAGACAGTTGTTAGGAAGAATGAGGTAGATCTCTGTGTGTATGTGTGTATTTATATATATATATATGTATATATATGGAACTTAACTAAATTTATTAACAACAGTAGATAAAAATAGAATAATTGTGGGATCAGAGAAATAATATGATTGTATTTTCACATATTTATGTAAAAGCCTTAGTTATATATATATAAACATCTGCATATATACATATATAAGAACTCATAGTAAAAAATACATAGAAGTAGTTCTAGAAAGACACTACAGAAATACGTATTTTAAAACTCATTACCATTGTGGAGGGGAGAAGAATTAAGGGATAGTGAAAGGAAATAACTCTTTCTTCTACATATATTTCTGTTGCATTTTTCCACAATAAGTCTATATTCATCTGTTAGTATTTGTAACACTACATATTTGTTTTGTTTTTTTTAAAGGTTTTAAAATTACAACTGAAAACAAAAACTATTCTGATAGTTCTTACAACTTGGGTGATTGCTTATTAAAATGTGAACTTTCATTCCTTGACAAAGACTTGTCAACTTAATTTGATCTTTTATATTAAATAAGGGTTTTCAATTTATATTTCAATAGAGCTTATTCTCAGACACTTTATTAAAAAATGTAGAAGTCTTTGTCTTTACATGCACCTGATTCAAAATCCTTCTCTTGGGTTTTTAAGACATCTGATTCTGACAGTCCAGATCTGTTTCAGTATCAAAGCAGTCAACTCATTAAATATCTGACCTTTGCAAATCTCTTCCTTCATCGAACTTAAAAAACAGGTGCAACAAAGTATCTTTCTCACTCCCTCTTCTTTATTTTTTGCCCCTTTCACCCCCTCTGCTATTATTTAAACTGTTCCTCCTAGTAGCCCCTCATGACGAGGCTGCTGACTTCAATCTGTGGCTGAGGCTTTGGTTTCTCGCCTGCAATTCCACATGGCTGTTTGGCTGTTTGCCCTTCTTTTCTGGCAGGTTCTTTGGATCTTTGCTATTTAAGGCGGCTTCCTAAACTCGCCATTTACTCAGCTTCTCATTCAGTTTTCTTAAACAATAAAATATTAACAGGGATAAAAATATTATTTTAAGTACTGATTAACACATATACATGTCTCTAGTTTAAGTGAAAATGGCACTAAAATATAATGACTATAATAAGATTACTTATATTACTATATTACTTATTTACTATATTAATATTATTATATCTAAATATTACCTGTATTACTGGAATAAAAATTATATAAACTATACACTGTATAATAATCTCTGTATTATATATGTATATGTATATACATATATACACATATATGTTTTTTATATATATGTATATACACATATATGTTACTTAATTCAAGTGACTTCAAGAGTTTTCCATTGGATTCCTTGTATTATGGCCTGAGCAGCAGGCATTTTTATGATTGGCAACCTAAAGCTCATGAAAGCTAAGAAAATTAGCTTACTTGAGAATTCAATTTAGTGGCTAACATGGAATTAGATCCTAGATCAAAATTTTATTACTATCTATCTTTATATTAACATTGATACATTTCCATGAAATAATTATTATAAGATTATTATAAGATTTTTTCTCTTATATCTATATCATCTTTAGTGTTTCCTTTTTGAAGTCAGCTAAGTCTTAACAGTGTTATTTCTCTTTTATTTCTTTCACTTTATTTTATTTTATTCCCAGATTTTATGAGGTTATCTTTCAAAAATACCATAGCTCCTCATTTAAAAAACTTCTTATATTTATTTTTAATGCTGAAAAATGTTTTTATATTACTAAATGTTAACAATTTTTAGCTTGCATAGACTTTCTTTTCTGTTGTGGTTTAAATTTCATATAACATATAAAAACACAGTAATGGCACCTGAGTGGCTCTGTCAGTTAAGCATTCCACTTCAGCTCAGGTTATCATCAGGTTAGTGAATTCAAGCCCTGCATCAGGCTCTCTACTGTCAGTATAGAGTTCACTTTGTATCCTCTGTCCCTGTTTCTCTCTGCCCCTCCCTCACTTGTGTGCACTCTCTCTCTCTTTCTCAAAAATAAATAAATGAACTTAAAAGAAATAAATTAAAAATAATTTAATCAAAAACTAAAAACACAGTAGCTAAATCTCATAGAAAATTTAGTAGGCATCTTTTCCATAAGTACATTGACCATAATTCAAATAATAAGCTCTTACAATAGAAATAGGTAAATATTTAGTTCTACATAAAGATTAAGATTCTCTTAAAGGCAAACATGGCCTTGAAAAACATGCATTAATCCTAAAGTATGGATATGCTTTCACTGCAACTAAGAAATTCCCTCTGACTCATGAAGATCTGTCCTTGAAATGTGGCCAGAATTTTTTTCAGTATTTATCTGCATTGTTAGGACCCAGTTCATTTTTGTGTTTCCCCCTCCAAGAGGTGGTTGTGAGGAAATTGATGCAACAGAAACAAAAAAACCCTTCAATCACACAATACCAAAGACTCTTGCAATGATATTTATTTCTCTAATATTGACATTGAATCTTACTTTCTTGAACAGTGAAACTTATAACAAGAGTTGATGTTAAAAATATTCAACACCTGATCAGAAATCAGATCAGGTGCTACCTAACCACAACAAATACAGTTGATACAGAAGTATTAGTAAGTAATACCAGTATAGAAGCCCCATATGCATAATTTACTCCATTTCTGTTAATGGAATAGTTCCAACTAATAAGAAACTACTTTTCAGGTTGCTTTATATAATTGCACTACTCAGTATCTAGAAATTAATAGGGTTTTTAACATATCTTATTTTATTGAGATAATAATCAGAATAGAAGTAAATTTTCCAACCTCTCTAGGCTAATTCTTGAATTGCCATATCTCAGAAGAGTTGACAGCTTTGTCAAATAATGGGGAGTTATTTTTAAACAAAGCTTTTTATGTACTTTTGTTATATGTGCAAAAAACCACAATGTGGTATTGTGCTAAATGCTTAGGAATAAAAATGGCATAGAACTGGTTTCTCTTTCCTACAATAATATAAACATAAATTTATTTTATATAATTCTTCCATATTACATAATATTTACATATGTATGTATATACATATATATTTATTTACATTTACATTTAAAATATTACATACATTGTTACATTTAATTATATAAAATAATTGTATACTATTTAACAACATGTATTGTGTGTTTTATATGTGATACTGACTGTCACTGAAAGTTATTTTCTAGTGTGGGAAAAAAGAAAATAAGCAAATAGCAGATTAACACATGATATAACTTCAAGAAATACAGTCTATGAAAAAAGTAAAGGACAGAATTAGTTAAGGTATAGAAATTGGAAGAAACTTTTTAAATGATAATAATAATTACATATTTAATTTTATATTTTTATTTAAAATTTTTTAAGTTTTTATTTTAATTCCAACTAGTTAACATACAGTGTTATATTCAACAATTCCATAATTGGGATTCAATAATTCCTAACATCACCCAGTGCTCATTACAATAATGCCCTCCTTAATCCCCATCAACATTTAACCCGTCCTCCCACATATCTACCCTCTGTAAACCATGTTTGTTCTCTATAGTGTAGAGTCTGTTTCTTGGTTTGCCTCGCTCTCTCTTTCTTTTTTTTCCTTTACTCATTTGTTTTGTTTCTTAAATTCCATTATGAGTGATATTATATGGTATTTGTCTTTTCCTGACTGACTTT